TGTGTTTGTTGGCTTCGTGCGTTCTTTCTTCCCGCAAGATGATGCAGGATGCCCCTCGATGGTCCCCGCCGAGAAAAATACACACGTACGAGCGATGCCAACATATCGAATGTGTTGTAAATGCTCTCTGAGGGGCCTGGAGTCCGAACGTCGCCGGCGCTCCGGAAGCGCTCCTGGGCGTTCTGGCCCGCGCGACTTGGCCAGAGGCCTTGGGAGCGTGGTGTGGAATCCTCCTCCTCCTCCTCCTCCTCCTCCTCCTCCTCCTCTTCTCGGCGCTGCAGAGCCGTCGCCTTGCTCGCGCCGGCTCGCAAAGGCGGCCGGGCGCAGCTATCTGAGGCCAGTGTGGAATCGACACTTTCACATGGCCCATGAATCGGGGAACAAGCAATGACATGAACAGAAATGTTCGGAGCTCCGCGCGGATTTCTCGGATCGGCGCTGGAGCCCCCTGGCAGCGCCAGCATACATGGGGCGCGGAGGACATACTAATACTGTGCGCCCTCCTTGGAGGCGTGCGTCCGACCCAAACAGATAATAGTAGCACCATCTTATCGTAGATCGCTTCCCGAACCGTGTGACCAGAAACCGCCCGCTGCGAAGCCTGTACTGCAAGATTTCTCGGCGCGCGTCGCCCCTGGGGGGGGGGGAGGGAGGCGATACACATATAGTGTTAGTATGTTGGGGGGACGCTGAGAACAGGGACAGCCCCGAGCAGCCCGAGCGTCCCAACCGCGGAAAACGTCCCTGGGAGCAGCCGGGAAGGGCTGGGAGCAGCCCCCCGAGCCTGGCAAAAACTCCCCGGAGACTGGGCGCAACGAGACCGGCCGCGAGCAGCCGGGAGTGCCCGAGTCGAGCACACTCCTGGCGGCCAGGCTTAAGTCGGGCCTGTCCTCCTACAGGCGGATTTTGGGGGAAAAATAAGACAAATACTTAAAACATGCTCCAACATGGCAAAAAACGTAGAAAACAGTCCCCAAACTACTTTTTTACTATTTCTTGATATTCCCTCTGTAGAGGGACAGGCCCGACTTAAAGCCAGGCGCAATCCGGAGCACCTGGGCCGAGCAAGCTCAGGGCGACTCGGCGCCAGCAGCACGAACCGCCGGCACCAGCGGGAGCAGGCAAGTCCCCGGCGGAACAGCGTATCAGCAACGGCCGCCAGCACCCGAAGCAAGGGGGATCCCTGGCGAACAGGGGCAGCTCTTGCAAGGCAGGGGGATTGATTTTCCGGGAACGTCAACATGCGGACGATATGGGTATACTTTAGCCACCCCGGGGCCCGACTCACTATCCAGATCCACCGCCCGCCGAGGTCCCCGAAGAACGGTTTCCCCTGCGGCGGTTGTGGATACATCCCCGCTTCGAAGCTCTTCAGAGAACACCCCAGAAGCACTCAGCGTGAAGGCTCTGTGCCAAACGTGGGAGAGAGTTGCAAGGCAGCAACGTGCAGGCAGAATATAACCTGAATGAGCTGGTCTTCTGAACTCACGTCGCCCTTACCCCCGGCGCGCGAGAATGAGGCAAACAACTGCGCTTCCTGCGCCGTGTCCGGCGAATCCGGCGCTCACGCCAGGAGAATCCCCAAATGGCGGTTTCGCTCGGGATATCCTCACAAACTCGCCCCGCAGACACTTCCAAAGTCCTGAAGGTGGGAGGGAAAGTGGGAGAGATATGGAGGGCAAGCTAGGTGCGCTCGCGTCATATTTGACGTCCTACCCCTCCCTCCCATCCACTACCAGCGCGTAGAGCGAAGAGACCCTCTCTATTCACATAACGAGGTGTCGAAGATGTCATGGATTTCGAAAAGGTAACGGCCGCACAGCATAGCACGGCCTAAACGTAGGCCAACAAGGCAGAGCGCAGAATGGCATAGCAGGGTATGGCATTGCGTCGCCAAGCATTGCAGACCAAGGCGTTGCAAACACAGCGGGCATGACCCCACATATGCAACAAAAACACGTTATTAAAGGATAAGAACACGGGAATGAGGCCAGCGTCGCAGCGGGCAATACGCTTGATGGCAGAAAAAACAGAATGAGGCCAACGCTACAGTGGGAACGCCATTGAGAAGGGTCCAGAACGCGGGAAGGATGCCAATGCTGCAGCGGGAGCGTCATGTTGAAGGACCGAAAACGCGGAAATGGGGCCAATGCTGAAGCAGGGGCATCATTCTGGAAGGACCAGAATCGTTTGGACTAGAGACTAGAACAACCTGATAAACATGACCCCGTTTGGGATCGAACAAAATACGCGGATGGGGGGCTTTATGCCCAGAACGCGTCCTGGGGGAGAGAGGAGAGAAATGTTCATTCCTATGAGACTGGCCAAAGGCCGATAATAACATTGCTTTTTGTTCATGGAACCGGCGACGTGAAAACCATCTGGGCACCCGCTTGCATCAAGCGAACAACCTCTACTGGTCTCTCTACAAGTCGGCTTCGCGATCTCCCGATCCCACGAACAATCCATGTGTCGACTTATCGAACGATCCATCGGCTGACAGCACGATCGACCTCACTAGCTACTTGCCGATCTCTACTGATCTATCTCACTACGTATCAATACAATCAACGTCACTAGTTACCAATCAATCTCACGATCAATCAGTCAATCAATATGATACCGTGCCATCTTCATGATCAACCTCACTGTCGACCTCTGTATCGACCTCAGTATTGATCAGTCAGTCGCACTGAATTGAACTGAACATCGTGCGCCAGGCGGCGCATTGGCCACTTAATGTATGCACATATGCTTCGGCTTGCTGGAGAAACGTAGGCAATGGCCCACGATATGCGTGTTGCAGTCTCTCTCCAAGATTTACCTGCCCTGACAAAACCCAGAACTTCCTCGGTCCAGTTCTGCCTGGGTCTGCCCACTCGGCGCACGTAGCACGCAGTTTCCGGAATGAGGGTGCCCTTGTGGAGTGCCACCTCTTTGAGGACTTGCTTCTGATGGGAAAGCAAAACTCGTGCATTTTTCCGATCTGCCTGTCCTTCACGACGTTCGACAAGGGCAGGCGTCCACTTTGCTGGAGCACTGAGGCGTTGCTGACCCGCGAGGTGTAGAGTGCGAAACGCCCATGATTTTTCGAAGGCACTTTGCCTGGAATCCGTCCAGCCGCCTGAGGTCCGCCTTCAAGAGCCACGCCGAGGAGAGGGCGTTTTGCTCTCTATGAGACTCGCATGAAGCTCTAGGTTTCGCGCCCGGCTAATGGACGAATGCTTCCACACCTTGTCTAACGCATGGAAGTCCGCAGTAGCGGCTACGTGCAAGTTCGCAGCCAAATCTGCCTGACGAGTGTAAGGTCGAACCCACATAAATGATCGACTCCCGCGCTGGTATCTCATCCCCATCAAGGCAGTGCGCCTTCCTTCACCTGGGTGCACACGGGAACGTAGCGCACCTTATCTCAATGCATTTGCAGACCGTACTGAATACCACATTTGGTGACAGCTGCCGAATTCTCGTCCTGGTGCTTGCCAACTCTGTTTATCAGGAGCGTGTCGTCTGCAAACAACACGCCCTCAAAGTCGCCCGTCTCGGCTGTTCGTCTAGCTTCTTCCGTTAGCACCGCCCTCGCGTCATGCATCAGCACGCTCATCAACATACCGAACAAAAACGGCGACAACGGGCATCCCTGGCTGATGCCAGCCTTCTGTCGCCCTCTGTGGGCTCCGACCTGGCGTCCAGCACGCGCAAGGACTGGCCCGTGTAGATACTCTGCATGGCTGCCAACATGCTCTCTCGAAGACCGAAACGCCTCAGCGCACGCAAGAGCTTTCCGGCGAGATGCTGTCGAAAATCGAACTTTTGTTTTCCAGTCCAGGGAAAGCAACATCGCCCTCCCGGTGTGTCCCGACTACGCCTGTTCTATCCGGCGGCGATCTCAGTATCTCTTGATCTTACTGTTTATCAATCGCGACAGCCATCGGGACTTACCGAAGGCGCCGAGCGCATTTCGTGGCCGATATCCACCAGGACAATCATTGGAACAACCATCGGGACAACCATCGGCGCGGGACAACCGTCGAGACAACCATCCGAGCAACCATCGGGACAACCATCGGAGCAACCATCGGGGTAACCATCCGGACAACCACTGGGACAATCATCGGGACAACCATGGAGACAATCACCGGGACAACCATCAGGACAATCATGGGGACAACCATCGGGGCAACCGACCAGACAACCATCGGGACAACCATCGGGACCACCATCGGGACAACCGTCGGGGACACCATCGAGACAACCACAAGACAACCACGGGGCAACCGCGGGACAACCAAGGGACAACCGCGGGCCCAGTCCGCCATCCAGACGGGAGGAGTCGCCCGCACACGCAGCTTCGCCCTCGCAGCGGCGGGAGCCCTCAGCTCGCCCGCACACGCAGCTTCGCCTCGCCCGCACGCACGGCACGAACACGAAACCGAAACCGATTTCCAGGTGGGAAGTATCCGTTTCACTTCGATCTCACCCCCTATCCTCCGATGGTGTAATTGCGGAGGGAAGAATGGGATAGTGGGGGGAGAGGAGAGGAAGGCGGGAAAGGGGGAGGGAGGGGTGGTGAGAGCGGGACACAGGGGCGCAGTGTATTCACAAACTCCCGATCAACCGCAGAGCGGCTGCTACTCGCATTGAGCTCTGATAGAGTTCGATTCATGTGGAGGGGGGCATAAACAAATCGATGTTTATATGTATGTAGACATGTACATATATATATACGTCGTTATACACATAAAATGGGAGAGAGAAAGAGAGAGAAGGAGGAGGATGGGCAGGATGGCGTGGATCCATGGCCTTTTCACACTCGCCGCCAGGCCGCGGCTCAAACTGACACGCCCGTGGCTGATGTGTGATCCTGGCGACGGTGAGACGCGGCTCGAGCAGTGCTTTTTGGCTGCCCTGATAGCCGAATCCCACCATCACCATGATTTTGGCTACCCTTGTGAAAGGCTTGCCGGCTTCAAAAAACATCACAGTAATGCTGCCTGACCTCAGTCAACGAGTGCGCTCACTTTCTTCGGCGCCTCCGCAGCCGGCGCGGACTGGGAGGGCGCCGGCTCTGGGGCTCCCTCCCCGCCTGTGTGCGAAGCGGTCTCCTCCCTCACGATCTTCATGCCAGAGGCGAACTCGGCCAGATCTTCGGGGCTCATCGTGCGGAGCCGCACCGTCAGCTTCTCGAGCTGCTCCTCGGTCATCTTGCCGCCCAGCCTCTCCCGGATCGTCTCGACGTCCAGGCTCTTCACGCGCTGCAGGGACTCCTCGATGGCAGACTTGCCGCTGTGCTTCTCCGCGGGCTTCTCCGCCTCCGCGGCGGCCCCGTCCTGCGCAGCGGCCGCGGCAGCGTCCAGAGCGGGGCCCGCGCCCTTGGCGAGCGCCATCAGCGCGGCCTTGGCCTTCTTGACCTGCGCGTCGCGCTCCTTCTGCTCCCGCGCCTTCTCGAACTTCTCCTCGTCCGCCTGCGTGGTCGTCTTGCCCTCGGCGCCTCTCTCCTCCAGCAGCTTGATCGCCTTGCGGCAATCATCGGCCACCTTGGCCTGAGACAGGTTCATGCGTGCCACGTCCAGAGGGGTCTGGCCTTCCTCGTTGGGCTGGCTCAGGAGCGACTCGGTATTCCACTTCAGCAGGGTCGGCAGGAAGTTCGATCGGCCGTAGCCGCAGCAGTAGTGAAGCAGGGAATTCTTCTTGCTGTCGAGCACCAGCGGGTCCGCACCCAGCTCGAAGAGACGGACAAGAAGGTCTTCGTTGTCGAGCGCAATCGTGTAGGCGCTCGCGGGGATGCCCCTGTTGTCGTACTCGTCGATCTTGCGCCCCTCCTTCTCCAGCAACACCGGGATGTAGTCCGCGCGTCCGGCGAACACCGCCTCCGGTACTGTGGCAGGGTCCTCGAAGTCGCTGTCCGAGGTGAGTCGCTGCACGCCGAAGGCCTTCGCCAGCACCTTCTCGGGGTCAACTCCCGGAGGCCACTTGCCGGTGTCAACGAACTCCTGACAGGACCGGTCAGCATCGAATCGGGAAAGCGGATCGAATATCGACTTGAAGTGTGTGTCGGATCGGGCCGCATCGGCACGACATCGAAATCGAACCGGATCGGCTACGCCAGGATGCGCAACAGCGCCATGCAAGTATCGGCCCGCATCGGATCGCTCGAAAATCGGAATCGGATCGAATCGGGCCGGCCAAAGCCGATATCGAATCCGGTCGATCGGATCGAAATGGACCTTGCCTGGTAGCCTGGTATCTTCGCGGCGATGCTGTTTTTCGTGTACGTCGTGAGCGCTACGGAGGAGGCCATGTTCATGGCGATGTAGATGCCCATGGCCTGCGGCAGCTCCACGCAGATGAAGCCCAAAAAGAAGGGGAAGATCTGCAGGATCTTGGGGCTCTTCTCGTCGTTCAAGCTGTCCTTGAGCACCTCTCTGTAGCCGAGGACGACTCCAAGCGGCAGGATGGAATAGAGAAGGAAATTCTCCCAACCGATCTTGGGCGCGAGCTCGATCAGCGGACCTTTCCAATTCATGATCCAGTCGAAGCTCGGGTCCGGCTTGAAGTTTGGGCCATACAGCGAGGGGATCCACAGGAAACTCTCCTTCAGTGGCTCGTACTCGACGATCGCTAGACGGCGCACTCCACGGTACAGGCCCCAGAAAACGGGCAGCTGCAGAAGCAGCGGGAGGATCGCGGCGAGAGGGTCGATCTGCAGGTCCATGTAGAGCATGCCCACCTCCTGCTGCATCCTTTCCTCGTCGTCCTTGTACTTTTCCTTGAGCTCGTTGACACGCGGCGCCAGCACCTGGATCTTGGCGGTGGTCTCCAGCTGGCCCTTGATGAAGGGGTAGAGGGCCACGCGCACCAGCAGCGTGTACAGCGCCACGGCAACGCCGAAGGAGCCTGGGACGAAGTCTGGGATTGCCTGGTCCAGCCTCTTGATGAGGGTCGCCTGCACAGCCACGAATTGAGTCCACAAGTTGTCAGGCAGGTCGTTCCCCTGAGGGTCCTTCAGGATATTGCCGTTCTCGTCCCACTGCAACCGTGGGTCGAAGAAGAACTCGGAAATCGACTTCAGCGCCGAGCTGCCGTCCAGCTCGACTGCGTTGGCCGGCTGCGGCGGGCCCAAGAGTGTGAGGAGCTCTTGGGGCACCCGGGCCATGGCCTCCGCGTTGAGGCGGCCGGGAGGTCTGAACTGACTGGGACCCCAGAAAATCGGCCAGGAGGGGGGGTAAGGCCAAATCCGCTCAGACCCATCCGAGGGCCCATCTGGTGCATTTTTCCACCCCGCGGATCTGTTTCTGACGGTCCCCGGGCCCGAAGACGGCCCCCCG